CTGCACAAGACCTCTTTAAAGTGTTGAAAAGCAAAGATGTCAGTTTGAGGACTAAGGTGTGCTTAAGTCAGGCCATGGTATTTTCAATAACCTTATATGCATATGAAAGCTGGACAGTGAATAAGAAAGACTGTAGAAGAATTGATGCATTTGAGTTATGGTGTTGGAAGAGAATATTGAAAGTACCATGGACTGTCAAAAGAACAAATAAATCTGGGTTGGAAGAAGTACAGCCAGAGTATTCCTTAGAAGCCAGGATGGCCAGACTTTGTCTTTCATACTTCGGACATATGGTCAGGAGAGACCGGTCACTACACAAGAATATCATGTTTGGTAAAGTAGAGGGTCGGAGAAGAAGAGGCAGACCCCCAGCAAGTTGTATTGGCAAAGTGGCAGCATCAGTGGGCTCAAGCTTAGCAGCAATTGTGAGGTTGGTCCAGGATTGGGCAGTGTTTCGTTCTGCTGTGCACAGGGTGGCTATAAGTCAGTACTGACGATGGCACCTAACAACAACAACAACAACAATGACCAAAGATCAGACGAGTTGCAGGATGATATCAAGAACACCATATAGGAAGAAAGCCAAAGGTCAATAAAAAAAAAAAAAAAAAGGAAAAAACTCAAAATGGATGTCAGGAAAGACTGAAACTTGCTCTCCAGCATAGAGATGCTAAAGCAAATGGAAGAAATAAGAAGGTAAAAGAGCTGAGCAGAAAATGTCAAAAGGCAGCTCTAGAAGACAAGGTCAAATTACAATGAATTGTGCAAAGACATGGAGTTAGAGAATCAAAAGGGAAGAACACACCTGGCACTTCTCAAGCTGAAAGAATTGAAGAAAAGTTTCAAGCCTTGACTTGAAATATTGAAGGATTCCATGTGCAAAATATTGAACGATGTAGAAAACACCAAAAGAAGAAGAAGAAATACAAAAAGATATGGTCAATGTTCAACCACTTCAAGAGGTAGCATATGATTAAGAGTCAATGGTACTGAAGAAAGAAGTCCAAGGTACACTGAAGGCACTGACAAAGAACAAAGATCCGAGAAATGATGGAACATAAATTGAAAATTTTCAACAAACTGATGTAGCACTAGAGGCACTCACTGAAGACTATGTCAAGAAATTTGGAAGACAGCTGCCTGGCCAACTGATTGGAAGAGAACCATATGTGTACCCATTCCAAAGAGAGGTGACCCAATGGAATGTGGAAATCACAGGACGATATATATTTTTTAATGTTTTGTTGTGAACTATGTGATAATTTACATTGGAGAATATTAGTTTTACATTCATCCTATTGTATATTGTTCTATTGCTATGGTTACAATCCTCTCCATGCATCATCAACCAACCAAAGGGTATACACTACAAGCCTGCCCCCCCCCGGTCATCAGCACACAGCCCCTCTCCTTCTCTGTGTCTAAAGTCCCCAACAGCTCCATCTCTCCACGTCATCATCTCTGCCTCCATCTCAGGCATTACTGCTTCTCTGGGTAGGGTCCTGCTCTCCGCTCTTCTCCCTTGATGGTCCCAGAGACCTCCGCTCTTAGGCTGAAAAGTTAATCACTCCCCTCCTTGCTACAAAACATCTACCTTTACAATTCCAACTCTCACAAACAGTCCTGATAACAATTATTCACTATTGTATCACATGAGACCCATCCACATTTCATTTCATCAGCCCCGCCTAGACAGATTGTATACTACTCAGTGGAGATTCTACATTCCTCCAGGCCCTCTGAATCTAGGTTCCCTCTTGAAAGCTTGTAAGCCAGTCACTTCTTGCCTTTGTAGCCACCCCATTTTGGGTAGCCAATGTCCAAGTTGCCCATCCCTGTCTACTCTGTGTATGGAGGGGGTAGGAATGATCCTTGCTGTAGGATTTGTTCCCTCATTTGAGCTACTGCATCCATAGGTGTAGGTCAAGTTCATCAAATTGCATCAGATTACTCTTTTTTTTCTCTTCTTTCTTCTTCTGGTTGAGCTCTGATCATCTAATCATTGAAGCCAGGTCAAGTGGGTTTTATATGCAAGTGTGGGTGTTCTTGTGCATATGCCCTCTCTTCTTATCCGCTGGATGTTTCACTCTGCACTCTAGTCCTCTGTGGCTATGTCACTGACTCTGGGCCCAAGAGTCCCCAGGTCTTGCCCCACTGCTGGCCTACCAGGTCTTCACCCAGGTTCACAGAAGTCTATTGAACATTGTAGGGCTTAGCTCACCGCTTCATTGCTGTTTTTCCCTTACTTCCCCTTATCGGTGACAAGCGTGGTCACCAATCACAGCGTGTATTCCCATTGAGTCTTAGTCTTGGAAGTCTTGGGTTTGCACTGAGCAAGCAACTTGTTTGTTCTTGTAGTAACAGTTGGTCTGCCTATGTTGTTTTGTATTTTTCCTGTAGGTCTTTCTTTCAAGAAGTATCTTCTGTTCTTCTAGCCGCTCCAGGCTGGTCTGCTCGTCTTTTCAAGTAGAAATTTCCTATCTCTGAAGATCTGGATGTGGTTCAGGCTTCCACCTATAGTCTTATGTATTGCAGAGACTCCACAGGAAGCCTCCTTCACTGGGCACATTGTAGCCTCAGGACAATATTATTACTATTGCATAAAAGTGAAACTTTGCTAAAGATACTTCAACAACAGCTACAACAGTACATTAGCAGGGAACTGCCAAGACTCCAGGTGTGGTGTTGTAGTATGGACTGCGAACCACAAGGTCAGCAGTTCAAACCCACCAACTGCTCCTCAGAAACCCTATACAGGCTTGCTATGCATCAGAATGGACTCAGCAGCACTTAGCAACAAGAAGCCAGAGGTTCAAGCTAGATTCAGAAGAGGACATGGAACAAGGCTTATCATTGCTGATGTGAGATGGATCTTGGCTGAAAGCAGAGGATGCTAGAAGGATGTTTCCCTGTGCTTTATTGACTATGCAAAGGATTTCAACTGTGTGGAGCATGACGAGCTATGGACAGCATTGCAGAGACTGAGTATTTGGGAACACTTCATTGTGCTCATGAGGAGCCTATACATAGGCCAAGAGGCAGCTGTTCAAACAGATCAATGGGACACTGAGTGGTTTAAAATCAGGAAAGGTGTGTGCCAGGATTGAATTCTTCCGCCATATTTATTCAGTCTGTATACTGAGCAAATAATCCAAGAATCTAGGTTCTATGAAGAAGAAGGTGGCATCAGGATTGGAGGAAGACTCATTAACAACCTGCCCTATGCAGATGATACAACCATGCTTGCTGAAAACAAAAAGGACTTAAAATACTGATGAAGATCAAAGACTTCAGTATGGGTTGCATCTCAATGTAAAGAAAACACAAATCCTCATCGCAGGACCAGTAAATAACATCATGACTAGTGGAGAAAACACTGAAGTTGTCAAAGACTTCTTTGGTGTGGATCCACCATCAACACTCATGGAAGCAGTAGTCAAGAAATCAAACGACATATTGCAGTAGGCAAATCTTCTGTACAAGACCTCTGTAAAGTCTTCAAGAGCAAAGATGTCAGTTTGAGGACTAAGGTACACCTGACTCAAGCCAGGATATTTTCAGTAGCCTCATACGCATGTGAAAGTTAGACAGTGGATAAGGAAGACCATAGAAGAATTAGTGCATTTGAGTCATAGTGTTGGAGGAGAATATTGAAAGTACCATGGACTGTCAGAAGAACAAACAGATCTGTGTTGAAAGAAGGGCAGCCAGAATGAGCCCCATAAGCAAGGATGGTAAGACCTCGTCTCTCATACCTCAGACATATTATCAGGAGGGACCAGTTCCTCCTGATAAAGTGGACGGTGAGTGACAAAGATGAAGACCGCTATTGAGATGGATCGGCACCGCGGCAGCAGAAGTGGGCTCAAATATAACCGTTATTGTGAGGTTGGCATATGACGGGGCAGTGTTTTGCTCTTTTGTTTCAGTGCTGTAGAAGGTTTACAAGAAGCAGCTGGTGGGTTTCACTTACCGACCATGGTGCTAGCAGTTCAATGCTTCTCCGTCAGTACCACACCAGGACCCAATAGCAAATACACATACTGAGAAACAGTAAGTCAATGACTATAAACACACACATAAGGCAGGCACTCATTCACTGCTCCTGTGGAGTGCCAGGCCCCTTCCCCCAAACAACGCCACATAATTCCATAGAAGTTGTACACACACATGCGTCTTCAAGTGACAGTGTCTGGGTGACAGGAATTTTACTGGGCACCATGTTTCTAGAGGGAATTCCTTCACCCTCTTCGGAAATGCGACATTAGCAAATCTTCAGTGTTGGAGAACCCAATAATTAAGGCAAACATAGACTTCTTTGTGTGTAGAGAGCAGTTCACATTGTTTCAAGACATCAAAGATTCTATTTCTGGGTATGGCTGGCATCTGTCGCTCTTAAACTCACAGCACCTTCCTAGAAACTCAAAGCCTCTTTTCAAATTTACAATCCCTGACAGAGCCAGAGGAGCCCTGGTGGTGCGATGGCTTAAGTGTTGGGCTACTAACCTCAAGGTCAGTGGTTCAAACCCACCAGCTGCCCCTCGGGAGAAATATGAGGCTGTTTGTTCCCATAGAGATGGGCAGTCTCGAGAACTCTGTGAAGCCCTTCTGCTCTGCCCTGGAGGGTGGCTAGGAGCGGGAGCTGACTTGCTGGCAGGGGGCTGTTTGGGACAGGGCTGGAGTACCCACTTAGCGAGGTAAGCAGGGCTTCCTTGTGCTTGTCTACTAATCTGTAGTGGACAGTTTCACATGGTTTTCTACCACATTACAGATTTTGTTTCTGGGTCTGGCTGGCATCTGTCTCCCTAGCACCTTCCTATCAAATCAGATTCTTCAAATTGATCATTCTTGACAGGGACTGAGCACCCAGTCAGCAAGGTAAGCACAAACTTCCCTGTGTAAGTACCTTGCTGACTGGGTGCTCCACCCCTGTGGAGAAAGCAGAAACCACCCAAACACCACAAACACAGCGGCTAAGCGCAGGCGGCTGACTTCCTCACCAGGACTTCCGCCGTCATTAAATGCGTACTCCCGGGGTTCTTGTCCTGGGTGAGGAGGATAAAGAAAGGATGTGCTCCAGCCTCCCACATGATCTTGGGGGGCTATTGCCTTCAGGTACAGAAAATTCCTCATGATGTTGCTGAAGCGCAAGGAATACCGGACCTATGGAGAATGAAGAGAAAATACATTCAGTCAGGGGATGTTGAAACTCAGAACTAAGGCATGGGAACTACCAAAGAGGTGGGCTATGTCAGTTGTACCCAGAGGAGAGGCTCCCACCACAGCAAACATCCTGCCAGGGAGTACAGTGCAGTGACCAGGGAGGGATGCTTCACTACATTCTGGAAGGGATGGCTCAGAACACGGGCTCTGGAGCCAGACTGTCTGGTTCCCAGTCTAGACTCTCCAACAGCCTAGTATGTCTCTTAGGCAAGTGAGCTCATATGCATTGCCTCTGTTTCCTCACCAGTCAAACAGGGGCAATAATGGCAGCACTTGCCTTGTGGTTTGTTGGATTAAATGAAAGGGTCCCTGCAACGTCATCTGGCATTAGCGAGGGTTTGTAAGATGCTGCTATTTTATGATTATGTCTTTCTCCATTTACCAAAGCCCCAGTCATCGCTATGTAGGCTTTACAGCACTAACAAAAGTAATACACCAGTCATTGTTCCATCCCCAAACAGAAGCCTGACAGTTCAGGGATAAAACACCGTCTTTAGTTTAAAACAAGAACAAATAAACCTACCATGTCTGAAATGCCATGAGATCAATATCGAGGACAGCAATAGTAACTAATATTTCTGGGAATGTTCGATGTCGCCGGTCCTGGTCTAGGCACTGAACAGTCTTCAATGCATTTCATCCTCACATCAACTCTTGTGAGTGATGTGCCAACATTAACCCAGCTACATTAACAAGGGAGCTGATTCCCCAGCTTAGGAACTTACACAGCTTGTAAGTGACCGAGCCAGGATTCACATCTACGGGATCTGGTGTAGAGTCGTCCCTGCTCCTAACAGTCCGTTTCTGTAACTAAGCAACTGAACATATACCATCAGGTACTTTCTAGGTCAAGGCTTGCTTGGAGCAAGTCTTCTCTCTTAAAGAATCAGAAAACTGGGAAGGAATTGAAAGTCTGTGTTGATCTCTGCAAATCAGATGATGCGCTGGTTGAAAGAGCTGAGACAGACCAAAGTGATGACAAGGTTAGGCTGGGGAACCACTACGTTGTTATGGAAAATATGTTCTTACCGAGAGGGGCAAGGGATCCTTGCTGTCATTGAACATATGATGAAAAGTAATTCCAGCCAATGTGTAGAAAGCATTGGGATCATTAATTATGTAACTTTCAAAGGCAGTATCTGAATCATATCCTAGAACTAGAGAGAAAATGCAATCAGCTGAATGGTTGGTTAAAGGTGAATGTTGCCCAATTCCCACTTTCCCTCTACCTGAGGAGATTGCCATTTTATTTCTCAACAAAGGAGAACAACCCTCATTCATTCATTCTGCAAACATGAGCATAGGGAAGATGCTAGAACTATGCTCGGATACCAACGATCTACATCTCTTAGAGGCTCTGAAAAACTCCTGCATTCCAATTCTCCTTATCTAGGCAGCACTTAGAATAAACTGCCATTTGAAAAACAACACACGCCCAAGTTGAGGAGGAAACTGCCACGGGTCCATGCCAACCTTCTCTTTAAGGACCTAACAACCAGCCAAAATTGAAAACAAAGTACCAAGAAATTTAGTTGCTCTGAAGAGAGAAATAATTTTTATAGCTAATTGTCTTCAAACATGACAGAGTTTAATACAAAATTCTTCTGGAAAGTAATTCTTCCTCAGAATGTTAAAGATATTATGACCCAATTTGGCATCAAACACCATTGCCTGTAATGTCTGCTTCTTGGCAGGAAACTTGGTTTCATTCCCTGAAAGGTTTTAGGCCTTCTATTTCTTTGTTTGTGGTACTCAGGAATACCACTGATGAGTGTCTACATTTGCTATATTTAGTTTCCCTGCTTGGAACTAGTGAAATCCTTTCAATCTAAACTGTTCCTTTGGAAATTCTTCTTCCCCTCAGCTGCCATAGCTTCTCCCTTCTAGGACTCCTGGTGGATCACGGTGAGTTTCTAGACCTGGCCACAGGCCTGTTAGCTTTTGTTTCAAACTTTCTATTTCTTTGCTTTTTATTTTCCGTTTGCAGATGCTTCCTTGGCTTTACCTCCTGGGTCACTTGTCAGAACTTCAAACATGTTCATTCTATCACTTCCATGAGAGTTATTTGCACAATCATTTTTTACGACTTCTATTTTTAATTCCACTACTCATCTGTCAGTTTGTTGTACTATGGTGGCTTGCGTGTTGTTATGACTCGGGAAGCTATGTCACAAGTATTTTAAATCAGCAGGGTCACCTATAGTGGATTGGTTTCAGTTGAGGTTCCAGATGAAGACAGACTCGGAAGAAGTACAGACTGACTACTTACGAATATTTAGTTACAGAATAGCAGTGGAACACTATCAGATAGCCCCAGAATACTGAATATTGAAACATGAAGAAGAGCACCAGAATATTGTCAGATCTAGTGCCGGAAGATGAGCCCCTCAGGTTGGAAGGCACTCAAAATACGACTGGGAAGAGCTGCCTCCTCACAGTAGAGTTGACGATGATGATGTGAATGGAATAGGCCTTCAGGGCCTTCATTTGCTGATGGGAAAAACTCAAAATGAAGAGAAACAACTGTAAATATCTATTAATAATCAGAACATGGAATGTACAAAGTACAAACCTAGAAAAATTGGAAATTGCAAAAAATGAAACACATAAGCATCGATATCCTAGGCATTGTTGGTAAGTGTTGTAACAAAAACAAGGGAGTGATTAATCTTACAGTCCAGAAACAGAGGACCTAGGACCATCAAGGGAGAAGAGCACAAGCTGAATGCAGGACCTTATCCAGAGAAGCAGCGACACCAGAGATGGAGGCAAAGGTGGGGTCATGGAGAGGGGGAGCATCTGAGGACTCTAGATTCATGGGAAGAGAGAGACTAAGAGTTGGTGCCCTTCAGAGGTGTAAATGATTATATATACCTGAGTGGGTTTTTTTTTTTTTTTAAAAAAAAGCTAAAGTGAACAGAGAGAAATACTGTTATCATGGAGGAGATTATAATCATTGTAATGAAACAGGTGTATCATTTGCTGAATGTACAACTGATGATCTGTCCTTAAGCTTTCACTCAATCCACAATTAAAAATCTTAAAATAAAATAAAAAAACAGAAAGAGAGAGAATTACTATACATTTGAGCATGCAGTTGAAAAACAACAACAAAAAAGAACATCATATGGAAAGAAAGCCAAAGGTCATTAAGAAGAAAAAAGACCAAGATGGATGTCAGAAGAGACTCTGCATAGAGCTACTAAAGCAAATGGAATAAATAAGGAGGTAATAAGAGCTGAATAGAAAACTTCAAAGGTGAGTTCGAGAAAACAAAGTCAAATAGTCTATGAAACTGCAAAGACCCAGGGTGAGAAAACCAAAAAGGGTGTTCAACCCACTGCTGCTGCCACTGTGCCAATTCGTCTCACTGGGGATGGTCCTCTTTTTCACTGTTGGCACCACTTTGCCAAGCATTATGTCTTTCTTCAGGGACTGGTCCCTCCTGATAATATGTCCAAAGACTGAGAGATGAAGTCTGGCTGTCCTTCTTCCAATACAGATTGGTTTGCTCTCGGGCAGTCCCTGGTACTTTCAATATTCTTCTCCATAACCGTAACTCAAATGCATCAATGCTCTGCTCTTCCTTATTCATTGTTCAACTTTCACACGAGGAGATTGAAAATGTGGGTCAGGCAAACCTTAGGCCTCAAACTGCTATCTTTTCTCTTAAACACTTTAAAGAGGTCTTGTACAGCAGATTTGCCTAATGCAAATTGGGCATTGATTAGGGATCCAAGTAAAATGCAATCCTTGACAATTTCAATATTTTCTCCATTTATCATGATGTTGCTTATTGGTTCAGTTGTGAGGATTTTTGTTTTATGTTGAGGTGAATTCTTACACCTTTTTATCTTCAATGTTTTGCTTCTTGGTCTATGTACAGGTTCTGCATCAGCACAATCCAGTGTTCTAAAATTTTCATTCTTGGCAATTTAAAAAAATGTATAATCTCGCACAGCTGAATGCCCGTGAATACTCAATAAAACATCTTTCTGGTATTCTCTGCTTTCAGCCAAGATCCACCTGACATTATCCCTCGTTTCATGTCCTCTTCTGAATCCAGCTTGAACCTCTAGTAGTTCCCTGTTGACGTACTGTTACAACTGTTTTCGAATTCTCTTCAGCCATAATTTCCACATTCTGCTGTGTGATTCTTTATATTGACATGCCAGGTACAGACACTTTTTCTTTAAACCTAGTAACATGGTGATTCTATAACGCAAGTCTAAAGAGTCTATTATCTGAAGTGTTTGTAGTTCTATTTTTTATCCTGATTGTCACCCCTGGCGTTTCCTACTGTGTCTCTTTTTTATTATATGCTGCTCATTGACTTTGACACACTTTTGTTAGGTTTTCTTTGAGATGTAGAATGAAGGCAGGTTCCTACTGAGACTACATTTACATCTGCTAGTCTGAGCCCCACCTAATCGGTTAAAGGGTTTTCTCTCTCTGTTCTTGGATAACTAGGTAGTGTGGATTTAAATTGCAAATCTCAGGGATGGTCTTCCCAATTCCAAGACACCTTGCAGTGTCTTAGGGGTTACACTAAGGTATAGGCACACTAGGGCCTCCAGCTCTATGGGGAGCCGGTCTCCTATTAAGACAGTCCACCCTGAATGTGCCTTGATTTTTGTCTTCTTTTCCTTTATGCCTTATAAGGCTTGGAAAATTCAGTTTGATTTTCCCTAATCTGACACTCGTTTGATCAAAAGCTGAGGGTCTACACAGACCTCTTGGGTTTCTTTTCTTCACCTAAAATTTTTAATTTAGGAAAATATCTAATAACCAAGAGAGATGTTTACAATAGAGTAAATAAAAATGTGACTACAAAGTAGTTGACACACACCTTATATTTTAAATGTGCATATGGAAAAGGGAAGGAAGGATGTGCACCCAGACAAGCTGCACTTACATCTGGGCAATAGGGTTTAAGTGAATTGTTTTCGGTTTTTCTTTATTTGCGCTTTCTTTCCTTTTAACTATCTGTACATTGTTAAGTTGTGAAAAATAACATACGAATGAGAAGACATATAAATCACTAATATTTATAAAATGAACACGCAAATAACCATCTCCTAAATAAAGTAATGACATTTACTCTAGATTTTTGGTCTAGATAGAGCCTGCCTAATGAAAAAATGTAAGAAAATGATTTAAGGATTTTACGCAGGTTTATAAGAGGTGGGGTAGGTCCAAATAGCCTATCTGTCCGTTTACAAAGTGGAATGGCAGTGCTATCTTTTCCAGAAGTTCCCAGCAAACATCTCATCATGTTTCACTGATGCTGACTGAATTAAGTGCCCCCCCGGACTACTCACAGGTGTGGACTGGCTTAGACATGGGTTACATGACGTCTCCGGTGGCATCAACACAATTAGAAATGCATGTGTTGAGAAGGAAACCCAGAGAGAAGTGTGTACAAAGGTAACTCAAAAAAATAGTATTGCTACAAAATTGTAGAAACCTATTATCAAACAAAAATACCAAAATAGGAAGCTTTTGTTTCTCAACATATGTCTATACACTTCTATAGGGATAAGCACTGGACTATTAGCCACCAGTGCCCTGGACTGCAAGTCAGTTTGAACCTCAAGGTCGGCAGTTCAAACCCACCAGCTGCTTCTCAGAAACCCTGTACAGAGTCGCTATGAGTCAGAACCGACTGGATAGCACTTAATAACTCTTCCCTGAAGAATTCTGTGCTCTTTAATTAATCCTACGTCAAAATGGCAGGCTTGGCATCCTCAAGGGACTCAAATCGAGTTCCTTTTAAATGTTCTATGGGTCGGAACCGACTCGACGGCGCTTCCCAACAACAAGACTAAGACAAGTGCAGTACTGAGAGAACTGTCTGCAACCACCGGCTAACCTCAGAGACATGTCTAAGCACATGTATGAACTGGGGCTCTAGTAGCAGTACTTTTTGACTGACTGTCCTTTACCATCAATCAAGGTGAAGAGACTCCGGGAAGGCAGAAACAACCAGATACCTACTTCCATTTGGAAATGGCCATCAGATGACTATTTGGTTTTACTCCTACCTTACATGGTTTGCTTAGGAGCTAGAATGAAGAGGGAAATTTACTTTCAATTCTTTAACTTTTCATAGTGTTTGGAAATGTCAAGGCAAAGCATTCTTTTTTATTGTGAATTCTTAAGGACTCTTATTATTATTTCAGAAAAGTACATCTCAAACCATTAAGAAGTAATTTTTGTGGGGTGTAGATTTGCCATGGGAAGTTTAAATTTTTGAGGAAGGGATGAGAGGACATGAAATCAGCAAAGAAAGGGGAACTGCGACAGCAGAAAGGTAGGGAGAGGGGACAGCAGTGTCAGGGCACGCGCGGTGAATGAGGACACACAGAATGAAGACTGGGAAGTAAGCCACCAGTGACATTTCCTGGAGGCCGTATGTGGCACTGTAGGATAAGCCCTGGTCTGCATACTGCAAGGTCAGTGGTTCAAACCCACCAGCTGCTCCTCAGAAACCCTATACGGAATCACGATGAGTTGGAATTTAACAACAGTGACATTTTTTTAGGAGTCCTGATGTGGTGCTGTAGGAGAAGCAGTGGACTGCTAATCACAAGGCCAGCAGTTCAAACCCACCATCCTCCTCGGAAATGCCGAGTTGGAATGGACTTGATGGCACTGTACAACCACAATGACAGTTTCTTAGCAGGTATCAGTATAGTGCTGAGGGCAGAGAACAGCTCATAAGGGGTTAAGAAATGGGTGGGAAGTAACAAGAAGAGAATTGGAGGGGAGGGGTTTTACCAGGGTAGGATCTTACAGGGAAGAAAGAAAAGAAAATGTTTCTATTCAAAAACAAGTGGCTAAAGCTTATTTGAAAGTCAAAACCAGAGTCCTGGTGTGGCACCCTGGGTTAACGCGCTGGACTGCAAAGCCCTTTGAACTGCAAGCTTAGCAACCCCTCTGCAGGGTTGCTAAGGGCAGGAACCAACTTAACAGCACTTAACAACAACAAAGATTGAGAAAGGTCCCAAAGAGACAAGAGTGTGTCTGACTGGTCATTTCCAACTCCACAGTGTCTCTCGCTGTCACTGGGAGCGCGTGCATCTGCATACCTCCCTCTCCCTAGTCTGAGTCTTCACCTTTCTTGTCCTGAATTTCTGCAAATGCTCCCCCTTCCAATCACACCTCCACAGAGCAGCCAGAGAAATCTCTTGTTAAGACAAAACTTCACCGCCAAGTTTCTCTTCTTCAAACCTCTTCAGCGGCTGCCTTTTGCAGCAGAAAAAGCCCTAAGACTTTGACCAAGTACAAGACTTTCCCTTATGTGTCTCTCACGGACACTGCAAACCTCACCTCAAGCCAACATACTGAGATGATGTCAACACACTGCACTTGGACTTCCCTCACCGACATTCAGATCCTCAAATATCAGAAGTCTGCTCTCACAGCGCCTGGCCTGATCCCTGAAGCTCTTCCTCTCCCATCTCCCACAAAGCTTCTCCTTACTTCCTGTCTTCACCCCTCACCTCCTTAGGGAGGACTTACTCTCACAGACCGGATAGGACCGAGTAGAACTGCGCCTGGAGGATTTCCAAGATGGTCATCTTTAGGGAAGCAGATTGCCAAATCCCTCTCCTGTGGAGCAGCTGGTTGGTTCAAACAGCAGCCAAGCATCAGCTCCTGTACCACACAGCTCTCGGTAGTTCCATAACCTCGTCCTCATAAAGCAACTGAACTACAATAGGGCCTTGTTGTAGTTAGGCACTGTTGAGTCCGTTCCCACGCATTACGACCCTGTAGAAGAAGCTAGGAGGTCTGACCCATCGACCTTGCTGTTCAAACGGACCTTGTAATCCAGTGCTTATCCAACAGCGTTACACCAGTACTATTGTTGTTGTTGTTAAGTGCGGTCAAGTCGGTTCCAACTCATAACGACCCTGTAGAGGGGTTCAGAGGTGCAACTGGTAGATTTGAAACACCAACCTTGTGGTTGGTAGTTCAGTGCTTATCCTATACCACCACACCAGGAATTCACACCAGTACTAGGCAAGCATAAAGTACAACTTTCAAAACAGGAATTCTCAAACATTTTTATCCCAGAGGGCCTTTGAGAAAGAATTGCCCCCACTGAGTGGCTAGACGGTGGGGAGGGGGAAGGCAGGGTAAACATAAGCTCTGGTAGTGTAGTGATTATGAGTCGGGCTGCAAACCTCAAGGTCTGCAGTTGGAAACTACCAGCTGTTCTGCGGGAGAAAGATGAGGCTTTCTGTTCCCAGAAACACTATGCAGGGTCGCTATAAGTCGGAACTAACTCCACGGCACACCACCCCCACCCCCACCCCCACCATGGTCCTTAAGGAGTTCTGGTGTGGCACTGCAGTATGATGCATTGGACTGAACAGTTGGTTTGAACCATGAACTTTGTGTTTCAAAACACCGGCCGTTCCTTAGGAACACTAGAGAGAGAGTCTCCATGAGTCAGAATCGACTCAGTGGCACTTAACAATAACAAAATTCTCTTCACTATTTCTACAAAGGCCTGGGGGTGCTGTTGTTCAAACACTCAGATGCTAAGTAAAATGTCAGTAGTTCAAACCCACTAGCTGCTTAGTGGGGAACAGACGTGACACTGTGCTCCCATCAAGACTGGCAACCCCAGGGGCAAGTTCTGCTGTGTCCTAGAGGGCCACTGGCAGGCAGCGTCCACTGGAGGGCAGTGGGGGGGGTGGGTGAGGGATCTATTTACTATCATAGTAATGTTGAAAACATTTCACCTGTGGACTCCACATCTGGAAAGAGTCTATCTACCAAACTGTATTCATTCATTCATTCAACAAGTATTCACTGAGCCAGACACTAGAATACGTACAAACACACAAACCCCCCCACTGACATCCAGTAGATTCCAACTCACAGCAAGCCTCCCTATATAAGGTTGCTGAGACTACATTTTTACAGGAGCAGACAACCTCAATTTTCTTCCATGGATCTGGTGGTGGGTTTGAACAGCTGACCCACAATGCCACCAGGGCTTCTTACCATAGGCACAGGGAAGTGGAGTCTACTGGGGAATGGCAATGAGAGCACATAATGACACCTGTCTGCCAATGCCATGAAGTTCCCAGAGGCTCTGAGAGAGAAGGCAGCCGCCTGCTGAGGTGCCACTGAAGCAGAAGCCACTCAAGAGCACTTTGTGCAAAGGCCCCAAGACAGGAAATAACCTCAAAAGGTCTAGGAACTGAAAGGTGGCCAAGGAGGCCAGCATGTGGACCCTCAGAGAAGACGGGAAGAAAGCAGGGTCAGATCCAGGAGAACCTGCTGTGCCTGGGGACGGGCCAGGTTGACGCAGGAGACTAAGGCCTCACTGTTGACCATTTAATGACAATCTTTCTGCTTGCACATAGAGACCACAGTTAGAAGGCCATTTCAGAATGTCTTCAAGTTTTCCATTTCTTATCGTCAAAGGCATATATCTAGCTATAATATATAATATCTACCAATCAGAGCTTCTGATTAGTATGAATAAGTACTTAGACTAGACACCAGAACAACCAAACTCACTGCCATTGAATGGATCCTGTCTATCAGAGGCTGCCAACGCTCTGCCGCTTCTTTCTCCCACAGAGCGGCGGGGATCTTATTTAGCATCTGACACTTCAGTTCACCTTGAAACCCTACCACACACTCGTCCACTGTGCCTTCCGGACTACTTACCCTCCATGGCCACTTCTGTCATCATTTTAGAATTCCATAACGAGACCTGCAATCATTCTAGGAAGAACTCAGGAAAATCCTCAAGGGAAATTTTACAAAGGTGCCTCTCTTATCCTTATCCCATCTTAACATCTAACCTTCAAAATGAACATCAAAGCTCTCCTCCACCATTTCAGTGATATTCTTCAGACTTTCACTTTTTGAAGGGATGTAAACAAGTTGAAATCTACGTTTCAAAGGGTAATGGTAGAAGAATCCTGGCAGCACACTGACGTCAGTTGGCAGGTAATTAGAAGGAGGGATTTCTCTTGGCAGACTATTGAAACGAAGACACATCACAATTGTAGAAAATAGTAATGGCATCAAGACCTCAAGAACTGTAATCAGAGGCTTCCGCTTCTAAAGAAAAGGAAAAAGCTGTCTGTCAGTTCAAAACAGAATGCAAGTATACATTTCTATAGGGTGAATATTCTTCCAATAAGAACCTCTTAATTTAAGGGACACGGAGGTGAGTGGAATGTAAACAGGAACCACAGGAAGGAGGTGGGATAACTGTTGCTTGGAAGGCACTGTAATCATTGAGATGAACCAAAGGTATGATTTGTTGAACATAAAGTTGATGATTTTATCTGTAAAAAAAAGAACTGCTTCATTTTTCCATCCTCCCTGCAAAATGTGTGAGAAAACAAAACCAAACAAAACCATAAAGTAATTGTTGTTGTTGTCAGGTGCCATCGAGTCGGAACCGACTCATAGCGACCCCATGCACAGCAGAACAAAACAGTGTCCAATCCTGGGCCAACCTCACTACCGCTGCCACATTTGAGTCCATCAATGATGCCACCTGGCTGATCCATCTCGTTAGGGGTCTTCCTCTCTTTCTCTGACCCTCCACCTTACCCAGCATGACATCCTTCTCCAGCGACTGTTCCCTCCGGATTAGCTAGAAAGATCTCCCTTGGCTTTTCTGTAGCACCAGGAGAAAGACATTAGTACCCATGATGCTGTCTTCAGAACTGATGGTTAACAATGGCTCCTTTGAAGAAAAGGGCCCATTCACAGGTACAAAGTTCTCAGGTTTCTTTCATCGTTACTGGAAACCAATTTAACACATACATCCCAACTCACAGTGATCTCATGTTGCTGTGAAGTGCCATCGAGTCGGTTCCGACCCATAGCGATCCTGTGTAGGGTTTTCAAGGAGCAGCTGGTGAACTTGAACTGCCGACCTTGCAGTTCAAACAGCTTTGCAGTGTGGTGCATTAACCCACAGTGCCACAAAGCGGTCCTATAGGGCAGAGTAAAACTCTAGGGTTTCCTAGGCCCTCATCTTCACAGAAGCCGACTGCTGCCAGCCTTTCAGTTAGCAGCAAGAGCTTAGCCACTGTGCTAGCGGGGCTCCTGGGTTCTTCCCAAGGACTCGCATTTTCCCCAAAGGCACTGTACTTACCTTTAGGAGAAAATTCTTCCAGAGAAGAAGTTGTAAGTGTTTGAACTGTGTCATTTTCTAGCTGAAGAAGAGGGTGTGCCCTGGTCAGGAAAGAAACGGGAGGGGGGCAGGGGGCGTCAAGGTTAACAGTGACTCTTGATCCTGGGAAACTGTCTCCTCACGTTCTCAGAACATTGTGTGGGATGATTTCCCTTCTACTCCTCCAGCTCTTCCTCCTCCCCCAACTCTGCTCCCCGGCCCCTTCTCTTCTGATTATACTTTCTATCTCTTGGGTTTAAGTTAACAGCTTCTAAACATATGTCCCTAGCCTGCGACTTTGCCTCTAAACTATAGATGCCAATATTCAACGGCCTGCTTGACATCTCCACATTTCAAATAGACATCCCACCCCAAACTCTTTAGGTCCAAGACGGAGTCACTGGTCCCATCCTAAAGCAGATGATTCTACAGTCTGCTTCATCTCTACTCTCTGCAACCCTATTCTTCAAGCTCTACAGGGATGTGGCTGATGCTTCTCTCTCTCTCATATCCTATATCCAGCTTGTCAGCAAATCCTTTAGAAGGCTCTACCTTCAAAATCCACCACTTGTCCATCAGTTTGCCGTACTGTGGTGGCTTGCATGTTGCTGTGATTCTGGAAGCTATGCCACCGGTATTTTAAATACCAATAGGGTCACCCACAGTGGACAGGTTTCAAATCAGCTTCCAGATAAAGATTGACTAGGAAGGAGAGATGGACGACTTCCAAAGATTTAGTCACTGAAAACTTTATGAATAGCGGTAGAACACTGTCAACTCCAGAATAATGACTATTGAAACATGATGAAGAGTTCAACATTATATATTATATATATATGATGAGTTCAACATCATCAGCTATAGTACCAGAAAATGAACTTCTCAGGTTGGAGGCACTCAAAATACGACTGGGGAAGAGCTGCCTCCTCAAAGTAGAGTTGCCTGTGAAGATGCGAATGGAGTAAAGCCCTCGGGACCTTCATTTTCTGATGGGGCACAACTCAAAAAGAGGAGAAACAGCTGTAAATAACCATTAATAATCAAAACAAGGAATGTATGAAGTATAAATCTAGGAAAATTGGAAGTTATCAAAAATGAAATGGAACGCAGAAACATTGACATCTGAGCACTCGGGAGCTGAAGTGGACTGCTCCGGGTCCTTTTGACTCTGACAATCACATGGTTCACTGTGCCAGGAATGGCGTCACATTCATCATTAAAAAGAACATTTCAAGAACTATCTTGAAGCAAAATGCTGTCTGTGATAGGAGGATAGCCATACTTAAAGTGGAGGGTTAGCGAGAAAGAGGCGGGTTCCAGTGAGAAGGACCGGTACAGTGGCAGCAGCAGTGGGCTCAAGCGTAATGATTGTGAGGTTGGCACAGGACTGGGCAGAGTTTCCGTGTGCTCTGCATGAGTCAGTGCTAATTCAACAGCACCTAACAACAACAACAATCTTAAAAATAGATCCAGAAATCAACCCTTTTCACCACCCACCCCTTACTCTTCTCAGAATATAACTTGAAATGTCTCAACAAGCTGAGGCAGCACTGGCGTTGCTCACTCATCTATGCTAAGAGATTTGGAAGACAGCCACTTGGCCAACTGAATGAAACAGATCCACTATTTGTACTCATTTCAAAGAAAGGTGACCCAAAAGAATGCAAAAATCATCAAAGAATAATATCCTAATATAACATATAAGTAAAATTTTCTAATGGTAATTCAAAAATGGTTGCAGCAGTACATCAACAGGGAGCTGCCAGAAATTCAAGCCGGATTCAGAAGATGTGGACCAGGGAGATCACTGTTGAAGTCAGATGGGTCTTGGCTGAAGGGAGAAAATACCAGAAAGATGTTTACCTGTGCCTTACTGACAATGCAAACACATTCATCGTTGGTTATGTGGATCATGACAAACTCTGGATGACATTGCAGAGAATGAGTATTCCAGAACACTTCATTGTGCTCATGAGGAGCCTGCGCATAAACCAGGAACAGAACAAGGGAATATCGAATGGTTTAAAAATGGAAAGGTATGTACCAGGGTTGTATCCTTTTACCACACTTATTTGATCTGTATGCTGAGCAAAAAACTTGAGAAGTTGAATTATATGAAAAAGAACTTGGCATTAGTATTGAAGGAAGAGTTATTAACAACCTGCAATATGCAGATGATACAACCCTGCTTGCTGGAATCGAAGAAGACTTGAAATAGGTTTGAAGATTAGAGACCACAGCCTTTAGTATGGATTGCACTTCAATGCAAAGAAAATGAAAGTCCTCCCAACTGGACCCATAAATAACATCACGAAAAATGAAGAAAAGGTTGAAGTTGTCAAAGACTTCAATTTGCTTGCGACCACAGTCAATGCTCATGAGCACAGCAGCCAAGAAGTCAAATGACATTGCCGTAGGCAAATCTGCTGCCCAAGACCTTGAAAGTGTTCCAAAGCAAACACAGTCGTTTACCCACTAAGGCGCAATGCTCAGTCGCCTCATATGTATGTGAAAGCTGGACAGTGAATCAAGAAAACTGTAGAAGAATTGATGCATTTGAGTTGTAGTGTAGGAGAAGAATATTGAAAGTACCATGGACTGCCAGTAGAACAAACATATCTGTTTTGGAAGAAGTACAGCCCCCATGCTCCTTAGAAGCCAGAATGGCTAGATGTCATCTTTCATACTTTGGACATGTTGTCATAAGGGGCCCATCCCTGGAGAAGGACATCATGCTTGGTAAAGTGGGGGGTCAGAGTAAAAGAGGGATACCCCCCAACAAGATGGATTAACACAGTGGCAGCAACAATTGTGAGAATGGCACAGGACTGGCAACTATTTGATCTGTTGTGTATACGGTTGCTAGGAGTCAGAACCAGCTCAGTGGCCCTAACAACAGCTACAGTTTTTATTACAAAAGGGGAAAGAACTGATGGGTAGAAATCAAACCTCTAAAATAAAGATCCTACTAGTAAATAGAGTCTGCACAAATGGAACAAACATACTGACATATCAATTAAGAAGTAAAAAGGACAAACAAAATTAAATGCTTTAAACATCAAAAGGTTTTAATAACACTAGGCTAATAAATTTGTCCCACCACTCATCTGTAAGTTTCTCCCACTGTGGTGGCTTATGAGTTGTTGTGATTCTGGAAGCTGTGCCACCGGTATTTTGAATATCAGCAGGGTCACCTATGATGGACAGGTTTCAGATGAGCTTCCAGACGAAGACAGACTAGGAAGGAGAGATGAACTACTTTAGAATATTTAGTCACTGAAAACCTTATGAATAGCAGAGAAATAGTGTCAGATATAGTGCTGGAAAATGAGCCCCTCAGGTTGGAAGGCACTCAAAATGTGACTGAGGAAGAGCTGCCTCCTCCGAGTAGAGTTGATCGTGATAACGCGAATGGAGTAAAACCTCGAGACCTTCATTTGCTGATGGGGCACAACTCAAAATGAAGAGAAACAGCTGTAAACATCCATTAATAATTAAACATGGAATGTACGAAGTATGAATCTAGGAAAATTTAAAATTGTCAAAAATGAAATGGAGGAGCACAGGGTAGGGAATAGACACAGGAGAGTTTGGGTGCTGGGAGGGTGGCAATACACAAGAAGGTGAAGGGGAATGGAAGAACAAGGCTGATGGGAGAACATTTAGGCAGGTTTGCATGGGCTAAATCCTATACTACACTAAATAGTGATGCATGCTCAACCTTGGAACACCAGGGCTCTGGGATACAGGGATTGAGGCATGGTTTGAATGGGTAAAAGAGGGGAAATAATGTTGAAATGCTTGGCTATCTTTTGAATCTTGGTTTTCCTTGCCTACTATTGTAAAATTTACACTTAAGAGGGTGATAAAGGAATAGCCAGAAACATCACCATAGAAAGCTTGTTGCCTATAACTTATTGTTGTTGTTGTTAGGTGCTATCGAGTCAGTATCGACTCATAGCAACCTTATACACAGCAGAACGATACACTGCTTGATCCTGGGCCAACCTCACTGTTGTAGCTACGCTTGAGTCCATCGATGCTGCCACTTGGCCAATCCATCTCATTGGGGGTTTTCCTCTTTTTCTCTGATCCTCCACCTTACCAAACATGATATCCTTCTCCAGTGACTGGTCCCTCATGACAATATGGAATACCTAAAATGGCGCCAGAATTTGCAAAATGAAGGAGGCTTCCTGCGGAGTCTCTACATTGCATAAGACCATCAGGTGGAATCCTGATCCCCATCCAGAATCTTCTGAGGTGGGAAATGTCCACTTAAAAGGACAAGCAGACCAGCCTGGAGTGGCTAGAAGGACCGAAGATACTTCTTGCAAGAAAGACCAGCAGGAAAAATCAAAAACAATAGCGGCAATCTGATTGAAGACCCTAAGAACAAGCAAGTTGTTTGCAGGGGAGCCATCAAGGCAAGCAGCCAAGTCCTCTCAGGGCAAACCCCTTCCAAGACTGAGACTCAAATGATATACACAAGCAGGCATATGGTCTTGCTGGTGACCACGTTAGTTTACCAATAAGGGGAAGGGGGGGGTGGTGGGGAAACAACAGTGAAATTGTGAACCAAGTCTGACCACATTCAATAGACTCCTGTCAACCTGGATTGAGACCTGGTTGGCCAGCAGTATGCCAAGACCTGGGGACTCCTGGACCCAGGAACAGGGACATGGCCACAGAGGACTAGAGCAGAGAGTGAAGAGTCTAGCTGATATGAAGTGAGGGGAGATGCACAAGAACACCCATACTTGCAGATAATACCCATTTCGCCTGGCTTCAATGGCTGGATGATCAGAACTCAACCAGAGGAAGAAAGAAGAGGAAAAAAAGAGTAATTTGATACAATTTGATGAACTTCACCTATACTTATGGATGTAGTAGTCCAAAAGAGGGAACGAATCTTTACAGCAAGGATCATTCCCACCCCCTCGGTACACAAGGTTGACAAGGATGGGCAACTTAGACATTTAATGCCCAAAAGGGGTGGGGGTGGGGCTACAAAGGCAAGAAGTGACTGGCTTACA